ATCTGAGGTGGAGCGGAGGCATGACACTAGCATTGAGGAACAGCTGCAAATACAGATGAAGCTCTAATCACTCGCCCACCACTTACCTCCTACTGTGAGTCCCTGTTCCTAACGGCACAGACCTGGACTGGTCCACGGCCTAGTGACTGGGGAACCCCTGCTCTACATGACTGAACATACCTGAACACCTCTATTGGTGCCATTAGGCACACTGGAAACAATCGTTTTCTTATGGGACAGATACACAGACAAAAAAAAAAAACAGTATAAGGATAGATAATTATTTTTTCTTTTTTAATTAGGGCACACGTGGCGACCAAGAAACTATTTTTCACCAACGAGGGGGCTCCAGCTTTGGGGGAATTTAGCCTCTATAGATGCTTTCTCCACAGCGATTTCCATGGTCTTTTCTCATTCACCACTCACAAAGGAGGCTTTGGGTTTTGACCACCTAGGTAAGCTGATTCATCTGTGTGTTTAAGGGCCAGATTCCAATAAGACATCCCACTGAAATCTTACTGTAAATATTGGGCACTTTTAGAAACCTTCTCTAACTGCAGGATTACATCCCCAAACTGGTAGATTATGGGCCGAATCAGGCTCATAGGCTCATCTGGAAAACATAGAGTTTATTGAAGATACCCAGGAGGCATGACCAGATGTCTAAAAACTGTTGTCCAATGTCAACTTTTATGTGGAAGGGGCTGTTGATGTAGGTGGGCAGTGGGACAAGAGAGCCAGGGGACTTCAGCAAAGAGTATAAATGCTTTATGTCTGGGGGCATAAAGACAGATTTTGGGCTATTCCACTGGGAGTGGTCATAGCCTTCAGAGGAGGCAGCAGTGATGAGCTGGTCAGCAAGCCAGGTTCCAGATTTGGACAGGAAGGCACACAAGATAAGACCAGGGGAAGGGCCCTGTCACTTGGGAAAGTGTTGAGACTGGACAGAAACACCAGCGCCGTGGCTCTCAAGGAACCCTGGGAAGACCCTAGGTAAATAATGGACGCAGACAGTATCTGCATTGTCACCTTCCTTCCTTAGGCCTACTTTTAGTACCTTGACCACAGGGTCCCTCTTTTTATCGCCTGAGACACATCATGCAGTACTGAGAAATGATTTACAAGTCAGGTGGTCAGCCACAGGCTGGGACGGATGGGAACAGCATGGATTCCAGATGAATTTAGACCAGGGGTCCGGTCCTGTGACTTACTGGCCATGTGATCCCGGGAAAATTTCCAGGCCCTGTGGGCCTCAGGTTCTTCATGTGCGAAGTAAGTGGGTCTGATAAGCCATGTTTCGTGGGAATGCAGGAATATGGAGTGTTTGTAATGCACCTCGCACAGTGCCTGGTCTATGTTGGAACTTGCAAGAATGGCAGTTATTTCTAGTATTATATTACACCAAGCCCTAGTACCCTCTACTCTGAAAATTTGTTTTTTCAGACCTCAGAGAGTATGCAATGCAATAGAACACAATATATTAAATTAACCAAAACTACGTCTTCATAAATAAAACTTCATAAATAAAACAATTTCCCTCCTGAAGGATCTATTATTTAATTTGGGTGTGGGAGAGTCTTCCCCCAGCAAGATGCTACTCAAAGCTCCTAGAATTTGAGCCAAAGACCGACTTTTCCCCTCCCTCCCTGCTGCTCTTATATCCGAATCATAATTTTCATTCATTTTTCCCCTGACAAAAATCTATACATTGCTTAGAATTGGCCCAATTACTTCAAAGATAATTAAAATGTCTTCTAATGGAGTCAGTTCTGGCATCTCAAGCCATGGAAAATGGTGCCTGGTACAACATCTGAGACTCTGGCTGCTGCCACCACCCAGCTTCATTATAATCAACCCCCACAGAGGGAAGCAGAGTTTCCCAAGGTCCCAAACTGCCCTGGCTCGGGCCATTAACACTTAGTGCTCTGCCCTGGAACCCCACTGCCTTCTCCCTTCTTTTACTTGTTCTGTAGGACTTAGGAGACACTATAGCACCTTCCTTATGTGAATGACGTCCTACACTATCATTCTATGGGTGGGTGTGTCCTGCTTTTCTTAGTGTCCCCCCTACTAACACAGAGCCTTCCAGAGAACAGAGACTCAGTGAATACTCGGGGTATAAAAAAGCTAGTGAGCAGAGATTTTATTTATTATTATTTATTTTTCTACATAGTTGAATAAGCTAAGGAAATCCAAGTATTATTTTAATTTTACAGAGTGGCAGACTAAAAATGATAAAATAATGGAAAATTACATATTTTTTTTATTTTACTCCTAAGTTCTTTAACATTATCAAAGAAAAAAAAATTCTATTCCAATGCCATGTTATCTTGTTACATACTACAAATACAATGTAAGATTTCCCAACTAGACAAATACAAGCAAATGAAACTGGATCATCTTCTTACACCACATATAGGAATAAATTCAAAATGGATAAAAGACTTAAATGTAAGACCCCCAAATCATAAAACTCCTAAAAGGAAACATTGGCAGTAAACTCTGACATTGCTCTTAGTGATACATTTTTTTTTTCAGATATATCTCCTTGGGCAAGAGAAACAAAAGAAAAAGTAAATAAATGGGACATCAAACCAAAAAATTTTTGTACAGCTGAAGAAACCATCAACAAAATACAGATGACCGGTCAATAGACAGATGAAAAGATGTTCAAGGTTACCAATCATCAGAAAAATGAAAATTAAAACCAAAATGAGATATCACCTCACACCTGTCAGAATGGCTATCATCTATAAGTTTGGGTGAGGATGTGTACACTGTTGGTGGGACTAAAAGCTGGTACAGCCACTGTGGAAAACAGTCTGGAGGTTTCTCAAAAAAATAAAAATGGATATACCTTTTGACCTAGCAATTGCACTTTTGGGTATTTTCCCAAAGAAACCAAAATAATAACTCCTAAAGATCTATGCATCCCTCTGTTCATGGCAGCACAATGTACAATAGCCAAGATATGGAAGCAACCTAAATGCCCATCAACAGATAACTGGATGAAGAAGTTATGGTTAATATATAATAGAATATTTCTCAGTCATTAAAAATACGAAATCCTACCATTTGCAATGACATGGGTGGACCTAGATGTTATTATGCTGAGTGAAATAAGTCAGAGAAAGAGAAATACCCTATGATTTCACTCATATGTGGAATCTAAGGAGCAAAAAGAACAAACAAATCAAAAACAGACTCACAAATATAGAGGACAATCTGGGAACAGTCAGAGGGGAGGAGGCTGGGAAGCTGGAAGAATGAGGTGAAGGGTTAAAGAAGTACAAATTAGCAGTTGACAGATGGTAAAGGGGATGGGGAGCACAGCATAGGGGACACAATCAACATTAATGTAATGGCTAGGTATAGAGCCAGAGGAGAGAAAGAGCAATCAGGGCGATCACTTCATAGACTATATAAATGTCTAACCAATGTACTGTACACTTGAAACTAATAACAAAATAAATTTAAAAAAAAAAACCATCAACATAATGAAAGTACAACCTACTGAATGGGAGAAGGTATTCCCCAATGGTACATTTAATCAGTGGTTAATATCCAAAATTTATAAAGAACTAATTCAACTTAACACTAAGAAGAACCTAACAATCCAATTAAAAAATGGGCAGAGAACCTGAATAGACATTTCTCCAAAAAGGAAATACAGATGGCCAATAGACATGTGAAAAGACACACAACGGCACTAATCAGAGAAATGTAATTTAAAACCATAATGAGATATCACCTCATACCTGTCAGAATGGCATCAATAAATCAACAAACAAGTGTTGGTGAGGATGTTGAGGACAAGAAACCCTAGTGCACTGATGGTGGGACTGTCAATTGGTACAACCACTGTGGAAAACAGTTTGGTGGTTCCTCAAAAAATTAAAAATGGAACTACCTTATGACCCAGCAATTCTACTTCTGGGTATTTATCCAAAGAAAACCTAAACACTAATTCAAAAAGACATATGCACCTCTGTGTTCACTGCAGCTCTATTTACAATAGCCGAGATATGGAAGCAACCTAAGTGCCCATCAACAGATGACTGGATAAAGAAGAGGTGGTACATATACAATGGAATATTACTCAGCCATAAAAATGAAAGCTTACCATTTGAAAAAACATTGATGGACTTAGAGGATATTATTATGCTAAGTGCAATAAGTCAGACTGAGAAAGACAAATACCATATGATTTCGCTTATACGTGGAACCTAAAGAACAAAATAAACATACAAACAAAATAGAAACAGATTCACAGATACAGAGAACAAACTGGTGACTGCCAAATGGGAGGGGGTTGGTGAACTGGGTAAAAAATGTGAAGAGATTAAGAACAACAAATAGCTCTTCTTAAGAAGAACAAATAGTTTAAGAAGAACAAATACAAAATAGTCACGGGGATGTAAAGTACAGCATAGAGCATATACTTAATAATATTTAATAACTATGTATAGTGCCAAGTGGGTAGATTAATTGGGAAATCACTTCACGTATTCTATAAATGTCTAGCCACTATGTTGTATACCTAAAACTAGTATAAAGCAATATTGAAGATCAACTGTCATTGAAAACTTTATAAAGGAAACGAAATAAAGAATTGACTAGAATTTTTAAGTGAGGAAAAAAAAAAAAAAAAAAAAAGTAAGGTTTTCCAATTTGTTTTACAAAAGCAAAACTATTTCTCTTAAACTGGATAAACAGAAATATGTGACCTATGCCATTTGTAAACTTAGATTCTGAAGCTAATAAACATATTTCAAAATACCACAAATAAAAGATGCATTTCAAAGTCATCCCTATGGGACAGGAACACAAAGATGTTATTCATTGTAATTTCCTCAGCGCCAGCCTGGCCCTCCACTACTTAGATCATTAACTACCATCTTAAAACACAAGGTAAAGAATCTGCCTTGAACTTCACTTATGGCAGGAGAAGCTACTGCACGTGGCACTAGAACTTGTACTGGCCAACGCAACAGTATCATCTATGGTAGCATTCTGGCCTGGGATCTCTCTTCCTCATCTCTCAAAGCCTCTTCATACCAGAGTGGGAAGGATCTGGGTTCAGTGTCGTTGATCTTGGCCAAAAACTCTAAGACTTTCATCTTGCTGGTTTCAATATGGACCCTGGGACCCCAGAGGAACTCATAGCGAGGAGGAGAGCTGTTGGGCACCTGCCTATACTCCAAATATTGTTCCTGCACCCAAATTTTGGTGAGGAGCTCCCTGGGCTCCCCATAGATGCAATGCTCCCTCCCATCGTGCACCCCCATGAAACTAAGCTTTTCCCAGATCTCCTCTTCAGAGACACGGTTGCCCTCCATGAAGATTATGCACAGAATAAGTATCAGAATGCCAGTCTTGGGCAGGCTGTGCTCATCATCCACTATCCCATCATAGGTGAGGTCCAGGTTGGTGATTAAGGCGTAAGAGTGGTCATTGGGGTCCACTTCTATCACATTAATGCCAAAGACCAGCTGCATGCACTCAGAGGCTTCACCGAATATCACAGGGAAGAGGTTATGGTACTCTTCCACAATCCTACCGAGCATTTCTGCCTTTGTGGTCAGCTCCTTTGTGCGATACTTCAGGAGCAGGAACCCCACCAGATCACCAACCCTGTCATCAATAATATATCTGCGAGAGGGCTCAACAGGTGGCACAGCCTGCTCGTTGCTGGGACCTGCCTCTTCTTGGCTGCTAAGTGGAGTGGAGGTAACGACACTGGAGGAAGAGCAGGCACTTGGAGGGGTCTGGGGAGGACTCAAGGTCTCACCAACAGCCTCCTCCGGAGTGCTTGGGTTGCTCGAAACCAGAGGATAGCAAGAGGAGGAGGAAGAGGAGGAGGAGGAGCAAGAGGAGCAAGAGGTGGAGGAGGAAAAAGAGGAGGGAAAAGAGGAGGAGCAGCTGGAGGAGGATGAGGAAGCATCCTCTTCCTCATCCTCGGGAACCTCTGCACGCGCACGCTCCTGTTCCTCCCTTTGGGACTGAAGGCCTTCATCAAGCGTGTAGCGTCGCCGCTTCGGAGCTCGACGCATGATGACTCCTGTTAGATAGCCACAGGTGAGTGGACAGGAGGTGGGTGACGGGGACGCACAGGCCTAGGGGAGAGAGGCAATGTGAGCGGCCTCGGCTGGCTGAGAAATGCACTCTAGGAGTCTCTGACAAAGGCGACTTACACGTCTCCTCTTTAGCGGTGCTCTTGGGCCTCGTAGGGGTCTCTTCTCCTGGGAGGTCTGTCCCCTAAGATCTTGAATGAAGAAGTAAGACAGCTCCTCAGAATGCAGACAGTATTCCCAAGGTTGTGAGGTGGGGTTGGGTACTGTGGGGCCCACTGTGTTTTGGGATGGGGGAGCCCTGGGTACACATTCGGGGCATGTGCCTCACCTTGACTGCTGGCACTGCCTGGGCCTCCTCTGCTCTGTGACCTGTGGACACGTGCCTCAGACCAAGGCCTTCACCTTCCAGTTCCTGGAGCCCCTGTAAGAGGAAACGAGGTGGCACCTCAGGGTACAGAATACAAACACAGCCCTGAGTCCCCAGTGCTGACCGGAGCAATGGGCCGGACTCTGTGAGGTCCCCTCCATACCCACTTAGGGTCCTCACCTTATTTCTGGAAGAGCCTGGCTTCCACTCCTCTGCTGGCCTGAGGCAAAACTCTCAGAACGAGAGCACACTGTCCTGAGACTAAACAGAAGGAAGTGAGGGGACCCCACACCTAGTCAAACTTCCCCGGGCCCTCCCCAGGGAACAGTAAGAAATGACCAAACTCTGTGGGATCAATCAGTCCGGGGATGTGGGGTCCACTCAGTCCTCACTTTGACACCTGAAAAGGTCTGGGATAACTCCCTGTGTTGACCTGAGGCCACTTTCCTTTATACCGAAATCTCACCTTCATGACACTGGAGGACCTAAGGAATGCCAAAACTAGCCATCATGTTCCACTTCCTAACAGAAGTGGCAAAGTGAGGCTGGCATTCCGTCCATTCTGATGTGGTGTCCCCTCAGTCCTGACCCTGAATCTTGGCATAGCCTGAGACTTTTCCCTCTGCTGACCTGTTTCTTGCTCCCTTAGACCAAGGCTCTCCTCTCTCTGAGAACACTCAAGGTAGAAATGGGGGTGCAACTCATCCAGCCACCATTCTTTGAGCCGCACAGGGCTAACAGGGATGGGGTGAGGCTTTATTTCTTCTGGGGTAGGAGGTCCACTGAGTCCTCTCTCAGGGTCCTCACCTAAATGTCTGGCAGGGTCTTTGATCTTCACTCTGCTGGCCTGAGTCAGGCTTCCTCAGACCAAGACCCTTACCTCCCTGACACCAAGCTGAAAACAAGTCAGTTCCTCAGCCCAAAAGGCATGCTGGGGGTCACTCAGGGCTGCCAATGAGGCGAGAGTGAATTTCTGTGTGACCCCCACTGCATTCTGGGGTGGGAAATACCTTCAATCTTCTAGGTCCTAACCTAGACTCCTGGCAAGACCTAGGACTTCATCCTCTGCTGACCTGATGTTGCAGCTCAAACCAAGGCCCTCCATTCCCTGAGACCCCGGGAGGCAGAAGTGAGGAGAGCCTACATATGCATCCAACCCCCAGCCAGGAATCTCCTAGGGCTGACAGCAGGGCCTGTACCCTCTCTGTTCTGGGGTGAGGGGGCTCCAGTTCTCCCTCAGGATATTCATATTTATCCCTGGCAGGGCCTGGACCACTCCCCCTGGATTAATCTGACATCACTCCCTCAAGTCAATGTTTCACCTTCCTGAGACCTGTACCCAATCCCACCTTATAGCAAAAGTAGATGGCACTCTTACCAGGATCCTCTTAGGGCTGAAAACAGGCAACAATCAGAATCTGTGGGATCCTTTCCTTTCTGGGGTGCACAGATATTTTCAGTCCTCACCAGGGGTCCAGATTTTAATCCTGGCAGGGCCTGGGATTCCTTTCTGCTGACTTGAATCTTCCCCTCTCAGACCAAGGTGACTACCCCACCCTAGAGATCCCCAAGACAGAAGTGAAGGTACATAACATTCAGCCATCCATGCCCCGGGTCTCCCAAGACAGCACGGGAAAAGGAGAAGCTTAAGTTCCCTTTGTTCTAGACTTCAAGGTTACTTTTTGCTGCACTCACAGTCCTCACTTTAACAAACGGCAGAACCAGGACTTCTTTTGCTAACCCAAGTGCAGCCTCCTCAGTTCAGATTTCTCAACTCCCTAAGTCCCACGGCCCCAGGCAAAAGGAGGTGCTCTTATTTTGATAGCCCTGCCTGGTAGCAAAAGCAGAGAGGGTTTCCATGAGACCTATATTTATTTTGGAGTAGAAGTCCCCCTCATTCCTCCCTAATGGCCAATAGCTTTACTCCTGGTAGTGTCTGAGTGTCCTCCCTCTGCAAGCCTTATGCCACACCCTTAGTTTAAGACCCCTTCAGTTTCAGATTATCAAGAGAGAAAATGGAATGATAGTTGCAGTGAGGAAACTATTCCAGAACCTCCCAGGGCTGACAGCACGGACAGGACAGCTCTGTTGTGGGGTCTAGGGTCCCCTGATCCCTCCCTCAGGTCCTCACCTTGATTCTGACAAGTCCTAGGTTTTCCCTCTGCCCCTACTCAGGTCCATTCCTTATATCAACCCTTCAGAATCTCTCAGACCCAAATGTGGAAGTTGGGACACGCCCTGGGTGCTCATCCTGCCCTGTGGCCTCCCATGACTGATAGCAGCGATGGGCCTGCTCCGTCGTGTGGTGCAAGGTCCCCTAAGTCCTCCCTCGGGGTCCTCACCTAGACTCTGGCAAGTCCTGCGCCTCCCCTCTGCCATCGATCCGAGGTCCCGCTTCTTATACCAACTCCCCAGAATCCCTGAGACCCGGATGTGAAAGTCGGGACATGCGGCGCGTGGTCATCCTACCCTGGAATCTCCTGTGGCTGACAGCAGGAGTAGGCTTCTGTGGGACCCCTCTGCTGTGGGTTCAGGGTCCCCTGAGTCCTCCTCTGGGGTCCTCGCCTGACTCTGGCGGGTCCTGGGCCTTCCTATGCCACGGACTCAAAGTCCTGCTCCTTGTACCAACCCCCCTCAGATCCGGATGTGGAATCCTTCAGATCCGGATGTGGAAGTTAGGACACGCCCTGGGTGCTCACCCCGCCCTATGGCTTCCCATCACTGAAAGCAGCGATGGGCCCGCTCTGTCACGTGGTACGCTAAGTCCTCCCTTAGGGTCCTCACCTAGACTCTGGCAAGTCCTGCGCCTTCCCTCAGCCACCGACCCGAGGTCCCGTTCCTGATACAAACTCCCCAGAATCCCTGAGACCCGGATGTGGAAGTTGGAACACGCCCTAGGGGTTCTTCCCGCCCTGTGACCTCCCAAGACTGACACGAGAGGTGGGCCAGTTCTGTCGTGGGGTCCAAGGTCCCCTAAGTCCTCCCTTGGGGGTCCTCACCTAGACTCTGGCAGGTCCTGTGTCTTCCCTCTGCCACCTACCCGAGGTCTCGTGCCTTATACCAACCGCGTGGAATCCCCGAGACCCGGATGTGGAAGTTGGGACACGCCCTGGGGGTTCATCCCGCCCCGTAGCCTCCCATGACTGACACGAGCAGTGGGCCAACTCTGTCGTGGGGTCCAAGGTCCCCTAAGTCCTCCCTTGGGGTCCTCACCTAGACTCTGGCAAGTCCTGCGCCTTCCTTCAGCCACCGACCCGAGGTCCCGTTCCTGATACAAACTCCCCAGAATCCCTGAGACCCGGATGTGGAATTTGGAACACGCCCTAGGGGTTCTTCCCGCCCTGTGACCTCCCAAGACTGACACGAGAGGTGGGCCAGTTCTGTCGTGGGGTCCAAGGTCCCCTAAGTCCTCCCTTGGGGTCCTCTCCTAGACTCTGGCAAGTCCTGCGCCTTCCTTCAGCCACCGACCCGAGGTCCCGTTCCTGATACAAACTCCCCAGAATCCCTGAGACCCGGATGTGGAATTTGGAACACTCCCTGGGGGTTCTTCCCACCCTGTGACCTCCCAAGACACGAGCGGTGGGCCAGTTCTGTCGTGGGGTCCAAGATCCCCTAAGTCCTCCCTTGGGGTCCTCACCTAGACTCTGGCAGGTCCTGCGTCTTCCCTCCGCCACCCACCCACCTCTGGCAGGTCCTGTGTCTTCCCTCTGCCACCTACCCGAGGTCTCGTGCCTTATACCAACCGCGCGGAATCCCCAAGACCCGGATGTGGAAGTTGGGACACGCCCTGGGGGTTCATCAGGACACGCCCTGGGGGTTCATCCCGCCCCGTAGCCTCCCATGACTGACACGAGCGGTGGGCCAACTCTGTCGTGGGGTCCAAGGTCCCCTAAGTCCTCCCTTGGGGTCCTCACCTAGACTCTGGCAAGTCCTGCGCCTTCCTTCAGCCACCGACCCGAGGTCCCGTTCCTGATATAAACTCCCCAGAATCCCTGAGACCTGGATATGGAATTCAGAATGCGCCGCGAGTGGCCATTTTGCCCTGGGGCCTCCTGCGACTGCCAGCAGTGGTGGGCTTCAGTGGGACCCCTCTGTTGAGTCCAAGGTCCCTTGAGTCCTCCTAGGAGTCCTCACCTAGACTCTGGCAAGTCTTGGGCCTTCCTCTGCCACCGACGCGAGGTCCCGCTTTTTATACCAACCCCCAGAATCTCTCAGACCCAGATGTGGAAGTTGAGACAAGTCCTAAGGGCTCATCCCGCCCTGTGGCCTCCCGTGACTGACAGCGGCAGTGGGCACGCTCTGTCGTGGGATCCAAGGTCCCCTAAGTCCTCCCTTGCGGTCCTCACCTAGACTCTGGCGGGTCCCGCGCCTTCGCTCAGCCACCGATCAAGGTCCCGCCCCTTAAACCAACCCCCCCAGAATCCCTGAGACCCGGATGTAGAAGTAAAGACGTTCCGCCTGTGATCATCTCACTTTGGTGCCTCTCAAGCCTATATGTTTTCTGGGGTCCAGGGTCTCTCGGTCCTCCTTCAGGGTCCTTCCTTATCTCCACATCTTGCAGTGCCTGGGACTCCTCCCTCTGCTGACCTGAAGATACACACCTCAGACCAAG